AGAAGGATGAGGATAGTAACGTTTTGGTGTTCAATGGAGTTTTGGAGGTCATGGGTTATTTTAAGGAGAACAGATTGCGTTGAATGGCCAGGTGGAAAACCAAATTGGAATAGATTGATGAGGGCACATTCTTCTAGGAAGTTGGAAAGTTGATTTTGGACAAGGCGTTGCAGCGGTTTGAAAGGTTGGCAATGAGAGAAAAAGAACTGAAGTCATTAGGAGGATTAAGAAGATTAAGAAATAAGAACGAAATCATTAATTGTGCCAGAAATATGCATCCGATCATGGCAGCTGTAATAGACCGTGTGAAACTGCTTCTCTAGGATTCCGCTTCCTTTCCACTTCACCTGTAGAGCGACCAGGTCTATTTTATATATGTCTAATTGTTTTAATAGTTGCCGAAGCGACCCCAGTCTATGTGATGATAAAATGTTCCATTGGGCAAATGACAAGTCCATATGATGAATCCTAGGTCTTTTCCTTAAAGGCTGTCCGGATATTTCTTGTTGCGGTCTCGATGCGATGGGTTTTTTTACATGGTGAGGTTGCAAGCCTAAGACCTAACCCGTATCCTTCATTCAGGCTTGGAACTGGCAGCGGTCTACTGGCAGAGTTAAGTCTTATTCCATACTAGGAAAAAATAAGAAACCTTCTACCTCCATTTGATGTAAGTTACAATGTACAAGGTTACGGGGCTATAAGATCAATGTACCTAGTTCTGCCATAAATACTGTTACAAAAGTTGAACTTTGTTTACATCCTTGGGGATTATTTACATGTCAGAATAGTAATCCCAATTAGTTTGTATTTTTCTTTCGCTCAGTTAACATGGAGTGTTGTGATAAAGAAAACCGAATAGCTGAAGTTTGAAAATGTAGGTCAGAGATTTTCAACACTTTGAAACCTTTCGGTATCAGCCATATGTCCATGTATCGCACTATAAATAGATATAATGAGACTCTATCTGTATGTGATAGACCTCGACCACGCCGTCCCCGCACTGTGAGAATGAGAAAGGTGGCTTCTCGAATCAGAAGAAATCCCATTCAAAAACAACAAATCATGTCTAGGGAAATGGGAATCTCTGTCAGTTCAATGTCTCGCATAATAAAAAGTGACCTTAAGATGGGTTCATTTCGAAGAATGACAGGACAAAGGCTAACCACTTCCCTAAAAAAAATTAGAGTGGATAGATGCAAAGTGCTCCTTCGTCGTTACATTAATGGTCTTCATCGAAAGATTTTGTTTAGGAATTAGAAAATTTTTACAATTTTAAGTAAAGGATCAAGACCAGGGCAAGAAGCTCATTGAGTGGAGGGGCTTGCGTGAGAGAGGACTGAAGGCAAGGCTGACAAGGACCAGGAAACCAAAACTATAAATCCATTGAGTTCCTAATGTGTGGACAGGCGCTAAGCTAGAAGAGGTATTTAAGGAAAATTTCGACTCGAAAGCGATAGCGAGACCTGTGGATGAAGCTTAAAGCAGAGAGTGACTAAAGGTTCTCTTCTCTAATCCCGAAAGAGGAGATCTAAAGAAAACATTGGTTTTCTTGGTTGATGCGGAGGTGAGAACTGGCATTTTATTACTGGACTACATCACTGGCGGTTTTTGTAATCTAGTTGTCAAGGACTACTTAGAACCCCCTTTATGCCTCACAGGCCAAGAGTACGGCCACTTCAAAGTAGTGTAGAAACGAGCTAGCATGCAGTAGTGTGGAAAGAACGGCCATATAGTGAAGGAGTGCCCATATAAGGTGCTGCCTCTACTGCAAAAACTGCGCTCTAGCAAAAGTCAAAGTTGATGAGAGTAGGTGCTGTGCGGGTGGCAGGGACTGCCAAGTGCACCTCGAGGAAATAAGAAAACTGGCAAAAAGAACTTACTATGGATAGACTTAAAGTAATACAGATAAATATGGCCAAGAGGCGAGTGTTTGTGGATGAGCTGAGGACCCCCAACAATTGTGAAATCATAGTCGTACAAGAACCAAGTGACAGGGTTTGGAGTTGCGGCGAGGATTGTAGCCAATGGCGGTGGTGAGAGAAGGCTGAGAGCGGCAATCATGATAATCAACCCGACTCTGAATGTCATAGAAATTAAGAAGCATGTGATGGCAGACCAAGCGTCATGTTACATCAGATGTTGTAACATCGCCTTTGCACTTGTCTTATCATACATGCCACCAAAACAGGACATAAGTGGAAATTTAGCAGCACTTGAAGTGGTTGCGGTATGCTCGGACACGAACGAGTGGAGTATGGTCTGGGGTTCGAACCGTACGGACACTAGAGGTGTAATGGTTGAGGATAGCGTTGCTAGATGCCAGCTCATAATAATGAATGGAATATATGGAATCACTTTTGTGCGTAGGGCTCACCACTTCCTTCCACCTCCTCACGTACTCTACGAAGTGAGGGTAGTTATCCTCTGACATCAGTCCTGGGAGATCTTCTTCTCCAAGATTGTATAACCCAGTTTTCCAGTACAGCCAGGCTCGGTGTTGGTCCATTTTTTAGCATGTCAGCACGGCTTGTTCCGCTATGTCAGAAACTCTGCATGTGGGGCACCGAGAGTCAATATTCTTTCCATGCTTATTCAATTTATCTCTAAACACCCCATGATTTGAGAAGACCAGTAGTCAGGTTGGGCACACCTCGCCTCTAACTTGAATAAACAGCGGGAAAGAATTTCCTGAGAGTTGATCCCTTCTCCGTTGTCATACACCGCCTGTTCCACTCCTCGAGTGAATCCTCCCTTAACACCGTCTTCCGATTCCCTGGTCTTTCTTATACCATGCCTTCATAAATAAATCTTGTCGCCGTGTATTTAATTCTCCAGAAAGCACTCCCTATCCTCGATAGTCCGTTCAATAAGTGAGTCACCCTGTCTCTAAGATATGAGATGTGTGGGGTATCATCAAACCCTCGCTTGAATCTGACTCGCAGGTACATCACCTCCTCAAATGCTTGTATCCTTACTCCTCCCAGGTTTATACAGTTTCTGGTGGTCAATAGAATCGTAAACCTTTTTAAAATCTATATACAGCTGGTGAACAATACCGTTATACTCCAATTTTTTCTCTAATATTTGCTGTAAAGAAAATATTTGATCAATATTCGAACGATTCCGTCTAAATCCGCATTGGTAGTCTCCAATAATTTCCTCGGCATATTCCGTGATTCAACTGGTTAACATTAAAGTGAATATTTTATAACATACCGGAAGGAGTGAAATTCCTCGATAGTTATTACAATCCGTCCTCGGGCCCTTTTTGTGAATCGGAATAAGAATAGATTCTTTCCATTCTTCAGGTAATTTCTCATTCACCCAGATCTTTTTAACCAACCGATGTATTTTAGAAACTCCAGCTTCCCCTCATGCCTTAATTAGTTCAGTAGAAATATTATCGGTTCCCGCTGCTTTATAAGATTTTAATTTTCCGATAGCTACTTCAACTTCCTAAATCCGCTATGACATATCCGCTTTGTTTTTTCCAATCAATTAATAAAATGTCCGGTTGGTTATTAAGTACTAGTGGTCTTTAATTATAGATCGATCCCAATATATTATTTTATTTTCTTTTGACAGCACCGGTTTGGGCACATATCGATAATAAGGTACCTCATCTGTTATCATGATATTTAATGAGGCTTGGTTATTGTGTCTCATCAGATATTCTTTACCTGCCAACGCTTGACATCCTGACGAAATATGTTGGATTGATTCTATTGCATTTTTACATAAGCGACATTGGTCACTTACATTTTCTCCACATATATATTTTTTGTAAGCATTGGTGGATACTACCTAGTTTTGTATTGCTAAAATAAACCCTTCAGTTTCGGGAAATAGGTATCTTTTCTGAAGCCATTTATTAGAGGCCCCCCAGTTAATTCCCGATTGAGATAAAGCATTGTAAAAACGACCATATAGTGCTTTACTCTTCAAAATTTCGACCTGATTTTGTTCGGTGGGGACTTCTTTATGTTCCCACTTATTATTATTATACGCTTATTATGTATGTATATTTATGCTTTTCATGTCTTTTTCTCTCTTTCCGTCTGAATTTTTACTTTTAAATAACAAATATTGTAAATATCTACTCTATTTATTACCACTTACACATGTATTCAGCACTTATAATTTGTTCTAAAGGGACAAAAGTCACAGAATAATAAAATATATTTTCATTTCATAATTATATTTTTTTCTGAGGATCTTGAGGATTATTCAGTAAATAAACAACTATATTTTGGTGACGATGAGGCTTTATTGTTTTCATCTTCATCGCCAGTTGTTAAAAATTAATATTCAATATAAATCATGTGCTATGTAATCGTCCCATGTATTTATTACTATTGTTATTATATTTTTTATTAATGTAATTTTGTTCCTACTCACTGTTTAATTTTTTCTTTTCATCTATGTTATATTTTTACTTAATTTTACTCATATTAATGAACATGAATCTATATTTAATATAAAATATTAATGCCTCGCTGTTTTGGCCACTATGTAATGCTCTTTTAGTTTTGTTCTAAAGAGACTTTGTCTCAGAATAATAAAGGTATTTTCCATTTCATTTCAATATTAATAAAATTAATATTGAACTAATAAGTAATAGGTAAACTACACTGAACAAGTTTTAGGATAATACTACTACTACAGTTTTTTTATAATAGAAACATTGCCAAAATATTATTTGTTTATTGACTGAACCTCGAGATTCTCAGAAAATATATTTTAATATGAGCCAAGAAAATAGTAAACCAATATGTAATAATGGATTGATGGTTGACTGTAGTAAAAAATTGAAGAGAAGTTGGTTGAAGTCAAAATACAAAGAAAAAATTAATATAATTTTATTGTTGAAAGCCTCAACTAAACTAACTTCTCTTCAATAATCTATACATATATATATATATATATATATATATATATATATATATATATATATATATATATATATATAAATAAATAATTTCTATTATTACTTTTTCCAGTTCAGGGAATCTAAAAGTAAATTAACTGGCAGAGTTCTTCTTAGAGCAACCAATAAAAGACAGATTACTAGTATTTTGCAAGCAGATACATTATGGGGTATGGGAATCACAGGTAATATTTTACTTACTAAATTATAACAATAATTCTAGTTGTTACAACTATTAGTTATTTACGGATCATGAATTGTTAATACTTGTGATAGAACTCTTAATGTATCAGTATAACTATTCTTTACTGACTTTTGAAGAATTACTGATTTATATTAATATTTTTATGAATCTTCCCAATTTTAATGTCACCTTATATTACATAATATGTTTGGACCCCCCAATGGGTGCCCATCTCCCTAAGGTTGATAGAGCATGACCATCCTTCTCCTAAGATATTTTATTTCTCTTCTCTTCTTAAAACTGGTGCAAACTAAAGTAAAATTTTTTAAATCAGAGGTCATATAAATTACACTTTCAGTGATCTGTCCTATGCTTTTCTCTTGTCCCCTGGTTTGATTTTTTCAATCCAAAATTCATAACCCCATCAAAATGTGCCCCCCCCCTCAAAAATTCAAAACCCCGTCAAAATGTGTCCCCTCAAAAATTTTGATGGTGCAGCTTGCGCCATGAAACACTCTTGTGGGTACTCCTGGGCCCATGGATTATTTTGAATTGATAAACATTTTCTGGACAGAAAAAAAATATTAAAATTATATTAAGATCTGTGGAAATTAACTTAATATCTTTAGCTATATTTTTCATTCACAATGGATTCCTTTAGTTGTTTTTTAGTCATCAGAAACTCTTTTTAATGTATTAAGTGCTTGCGAGTAAAAATAATAACTAACTAATTATGCTTTTTAGTACTAATTTACTTTTTTAGATCCTATCAGTTTAAACAATTTATAATAATTCATAATATAAATACGGGGAAACCAACACCTCTTTGCTATCTAACAAACACCTTTCTCCAAAAAGATCCTCTTCCCTAAGGACAATTTTTATGTTTTGTATTTATGTTATGTAAATGTGCTGTGTTTAAAGCAACCCAATGTAATTTGGCAGCACCCTTTTATGATAATAGAGTGATTCTACTTATGAAAATGTTGAAAATTAAGAAAACTCTAATTATTTTCTGTTTTGATATACTTAAATGCGCTTCTACAAATAGATGTGTATATACCTATAATTTATTCTTTTTCATTGTTCTATCTAATATTTTCAGCAAAATCAGTTAATCTGAAGAGTGAAATGAAAAATTTTTAAATAGGATTATGTAATTTTCCATAAAGTTTTTAATTTTCTGTACATTTTTTTTTTTTTTATACTTCTTGGTAGTTTTCATAAATTCCCTATCCTCTCATAATTATTTAACTTTATAAGCCAATATACCTCAGTATTCATTATTATTTCAACTTTCATGCCAAGAATGGTACCATGTAAATTTCTTACAATGAAAGAAAAGCAAATTGAAAATTTTTATAAAAAAATTAAGTTTTCTGTGCTAAAACTTTAAGATTGTACTATAAAACTTTTAAATACTCATTTATTCAAATTAATAAACCTGCATACAGGTGTAAATTCAATTTTGAATAAGCAATTATACCCTTTCTCAGTAGAAACCTCTCTTCTACAGATAAACCTGCCAAACTCATGGCTATTGTGAAGAAGTTTCTCTTCCCCTTCCCGTCTTCTGCCATAAATAAATAATGGTCGTTATAATCAAAATGTGGAGCCTTTGTTTCCTTATTTATTGACTATGTTTTCCCATTTTCTAATAAAAATAAATTAATTCTGTATTGACAGGTGCAGGAATAAAAGTAGCTGTTTTTGATACTGGTCTTTCCAAAAGCCATCCACATTTTAGACAAATTGTGGAGCGTTCGGATTGGACTCATGAAAAGAGTTTAGAAGATGGCTTAGGTCATGGCACCTTTGTTGCTGGACTCATTGCAAGCAGTAAAGAATGCCTTGGACTTGCTCCTGATGCTCAATTACATATTTTCCGAGTTTTTACTAACAATCAGGTTTTAATCTTTCTTAAACTTCAGTTTTTGTTTTTTATGTTTTTTTTTCTTTTATGATTGTAGGTGGAAATCTTCAAAAGACACGAATATGCTCTATCCATATCTGTACCTATCCATGTGTGGGGTCTTTACCTACTAAAACCACCTCCATACGCCTGTTTCCTACCCTCCACTGGACTACCGTTAAGGGCCTATAGTGGTGTGAGCTGCCTCATTTCCTCAGGTCACCTCCTGGTTTGCCTTTCCTTCTCCTCTCTCCTCAGTCTCTGTTGTATGAGCACATCATCTCTTCTGAAATCAGTTTGTGTGTGTGTATACATATATATATGTGTATATAGGTTGTTGAGTGAGTAAAGGGAAATATTTAATGGAGCGATAGCAAAGAGCTATAGAAAAATTAATATAATCCGTGTGTTTAGGCAACTTTCCAATTTTTAATTAAAGCAAGGCAAAAGCAAGGCAAACTCTCATGAGTTCTTAATAGGCAACATTCAAATTTTATTGGGCAACATTTTACTTTTATGCAGTGGACTCTACTTTAATGGATTGGTAGGTTATACTTGTGCGAATTAAGTGTTATCTTTTAGATCTTCTGATCTGCCCCCACCACTCGCCGTAATGAGGGAAATTTGAACCATTTTCACATAAACATATCCTCCACCGTGAAATATCTCATTTCACAAACCAAAAAAAAAAAAAAGAAAAACCAAACTCAGAGAATGATGATTAACAGACAAGGCACAAACAAGAGGAAAAATGCTTTGATTACAATAAAGAAAGAGATAAATTATTCAAAATAGAGTTTTGGAAACTTAGAAATAAAGTGAGCCAGATCAAAGGTAGTCTAACAAATTACAATTAATTTAAAATAAAATGACTCCTAAATTAATTTTTTTTTAAATTATTCATATCAATTAAAGGTTTCTCCAGAAGGGAGAGGCACCAACTTGTGCACCGGTCACACCAAAGTTGCTGTAGCAGTCCTCAATTTTACCACCCTAACTACACTGTCAGGCCCTGGAAGTGTCTCTATTATCCTAGCAAGCCTTCACTCCTGCATGGGAACATCTTTTTCATGTGGAATTAGAAGGGTTCCTGCCTTTAAATTTTCCCTGTCAGTATACCACTTGTTGGGAGGTACCAGATTATGGAGGTATTCATTATAATGAATATACTGGACTACCGTACCAGCTCATGGTATACCAGCTCTTCAGAAAATGACGAATTCTTGGAATTTTTTTTTTTAGCTGCATAAGTGCACTGCGGCCTAATTTAAAGTCACTTCAGTTTAGAGTGTAATTCCTGCAGTCTCAATGAACTGTAATAAGCTTGTTGGATTGATAAACTCGTTTGCCTTGGGATCCTTCTCCCTATCAATGCCAAATAAACATAATCTTAAGCCAGCAAACCCATCACACCAGCAAGTAACATGATATGCTGTCTCATCCTCCCGACCACAGTACCTACAAAGAGACGACTCTGTGAGCCAGAGTTTGAACATATGATAATTCAGTTTACTGTGCCCTGTGTATGCTGCTATAATTTTCTTAAGTGAGCTCCTGCTCAGATTAATTAGTAAGTTAGTTCTTTTTTAACAGATTCGTTCCAGAAACAGTCTAGAGTTTGTCTATTTTTTCAAGCTCCAGTTCTTTTTATTTTCAGCACCATATATGTTGTAATTCCTAATAACCCCCCATCAGAATCTCTACCTCTGACCAGAGGCGTCCAACAAGGCTCTTCCTTATCCCGCACCCTTTTCTCCATCTATATAAATGACCTCCCATCGTCTATCCAGCACTGTCAATACCACCTGTATGCCGACGTCATTAAAATTTACCTCTCCTTTAATCCTACCAATTTCTCAGATGCCACTCTAAAACTTCAGGAAGACATTGACAGAATAAGTGCTTGGGCAAACCTCAACAGGCTCACTCTGAACTCTGAGAAGATAAAAGCCATGTTGATCGGATCCCCCTTACTTCTCAAATCCTACCCGATATCTCCCAATCTCCTCCTAAACAACTCACCTATCTTATTCCACACCACTGTTAAAAACCTAGGTGTTACTTTTGATCAAACCCTATCCTGGAAACCACACATCTCCCAAATTTCCCGTCGCACTATCTCCACCTTAAAACAGTTCAATCCTCTACGATATCTCCTTCCATATAAGTCCCATCAACTCCTAGTTTCTTCCCACTTCGACTATGGCTGTATGGTGTACAGTGGACTCTCGAGAGATTCCGGGACCAAACTTAAACGCCTAATGAATTACGCACTACGATTTGTTTTCGGAATCCCAAGGGAGTTCTGCAGGTATTTCATCTGGTCCTGGACACATGTTATTTTTCAATCGGTCAGCAGCCCCAATCACCTCTTCTGGATTTGGGAGAGCTTCAAGATCTTGTTTTCCCTCCCTGGTCCGATTTCTTTTCTCTAAGACTGCTCTATTTCCCTCATTTAAATGCTCTCTTCTCTTCTTTCTTGTTTAGAAGTGTTTCATCTTCATCCTTACAAGCAACACTTTTTGGTTGGAAGGCTGAAGGGTGATGTTTCTTAGTTTACCCTCTGAAAGATCAGCCGGCTTTCATGTGCACTCCTCGCTTCTTCAATTTCTTCAGTTTCATCCTCTCCCAGGTCATTTTCTATCCTCGTTGCACTTTTTTTCTACTCCCTTCTACATCTTCTGTTGCCTACCTAGTTTACCTCCTCTGTACCATTCTCCTATATGCTTCGTTTTTTGTTCCTGAGATCTTCCGCCATTCTTCCTCAAACAGTCATCCTCTACTATCTCTCCCTCTCTCTCTTCCTTTCTCTCACTACATCTTCAGCTGCTTTCCTAATTGCTCCCTTTAAAGCTAATCATTCCTCATCAACCCTTGATTCTTCTTCCAACAACCGGTATGCTTGGCTTATCTCTTCCCTGACTTGCTCTTGGAATCTCCGGCACCTTGAGTTTGTCAATGTCCATACATCTGCTTTTATCTCTTCTTGCCTTGTGGCTGCTGGAGATCCTTGCACTAATCTTGGTTATGACCAAGAATTGGTCCAAGTCCATATTAGCACCCCGGGATGAACGGCTACACATCAGATTAGACATGTGTCAGAAGGAGATTAAGAGATGATCTATTTGATTAAAATTACACCCATCAGGAGACCTCCAGGTTATTCTATGAATATTTTCCCCCAGAAAGAATGTGCTTCCAATGGTCAGGTTCCGTGAGGCAGCAAAATAAATGAGCTGTTGGCCATTATCATTGCTCTCATAGTGAATACTGAACCTTACAATAGTGGGACAGTATACCTCTTCATGGCCAACCTTTGAATTAAAGTCCCCCTCCCCATCAGTATTTTTATATCGCTTGTAAATCTACTTTTGTATTTTTAATTTTTTATTTTACTTAATACTTTATTTATTACTTTATGATAATCTACATCTTGAATCCCAAATTTATCTGAAATCAGAGTGATCCTCCTCATAACTAGTGCATATTGGAATGCTCTTTGGGAATCATTAAGACAAACTTTCTGTGGCTGAAACAGTCAGCGCTTGCATGCTCACTACAGATAAATTGGAAAATTATCTTTTCACTCTTATCCTAGCTATTTTTTCATTCACTGCCTTATTATCCATCTCTACTTGTTTGAAACCATTTCTTACTATAAATCCAGTCCCCAATAAATCACACTTCCTACCACTATTGAAGAGTGTGATTGTGATTCCTATTTCTTAGGACTGCAATGTCCATTTGATATTTCAAGATTTAACATTCTCCTCTTTCCTAGCTGTTGGGTTTGCAAAAAGAAAAAATCTAAAAAAATAAAATTCATGTATACATATATATATATATATATATATATATATATATATATATATATATATATATATATATATATATATACACTGACAGGCAAAAAATTCCACCCACTTGATTTTTTCATGTTTTCATCTAAAAATATTTCTGCTTTGGATTGGTCTATTGTTTTGAATGAATAAATAGGTAATCTTTTTGTTTGTTTTTAATTAGGAATGTTAATATAGAGGACAATAACTCATAATCCTTAATTCAATGAAATGATTCTAGATTCCAATGTTTCCAAGGTTCCAAGATTCCAAAACGAACCATTATTATTCTAAAAGAAATTAATTACATCATCGTTTAGTAGCGCGTGTTTCCTCCTCTTGCCTTCACTACTTCTTGAAGACGCCTCGGCATACTTTCCACCAGTCGGGAAATGTCCCTTTGCTGGAGGATTGCCCATTCCTCCCGAAGAGCCCTTTCAAGGTCTTGCAGTGTATCAGGAAGTGTTGCACGCGCTCTTATTCGTCTTCCGAGGTTATCCCATAAATGCTCAATGGGGTTCAAATCTGGAGAACGTGCTGGCCAGGCTAAAACCTCAATATAGTTCTGTTGAAGGAACGTCTGCACTATGCGGGCGACATGTGGGCGTGCATTATCATGCATTAGAATAGAACAGTCGCCGATTTCGTTGAGAATAGGCAACACATGAGGTTCCAAAATCTCATCTACATAGCGAATGGCCGTCAAAGACCCTCCACGAACAACAACCAATTCTGTGCGGTGCTCCATTCACGCCCGTCTGGAGATCAAAGAGCGAATCTTGACTCATCCCGTGGTTCTGTTACCTTAGGCCGTCCAGAACGGGGCCTTCTATTGTAAGAACCAGTTTCCCAAAAACGCCTGACGTAAAGTTTCATAAGGAACTCCGATGGCATTAGCTGCATATCTAATGGAACGTCCATCATCAATAAATGCCACACCACGCGCAACATCCTCAGCACTAAGAGACATTTTTAAACTTAATATTGAAAAAATTAAAAGCCTTAAAATGCTAAGAAATGTGCTGCAAGAAACGGCACTGAACTAATGATACTGAATAAACATTTTGATTCCATTGAAAGTAAACATTGGAATCTAGAATCATTTCATTGAATTAAGGATTAAGGGTTATTGTCCTCTATATTAACATTCCTAATTGAAAACGAACAAAAAGATTACCTATTTATTCATTAAAAACAATAGACCAATCCAAAGCAGAAATATTTTTAGATGAAAACATGAAAAAATCAAGTGGGTGGAATTTTTTGCCTGTCATTGTATATATATGTATATATATATATATATATGTATATGTTTTCTATTCATGTAAGATTAATTTATTATGATACTTTTTTTAATGGTCTGATGGTTTACCACAAATTTTTAACCACTCTAATCAAACTTATTGAAACACGTTTTTTTCTTATATAGTTACCATTTCCAATTTTTCTTTTTTAGGTTTCTTATACCTCTTGGTTTTTGGATGCCTTTAATTATGCTATTTTAAAGAAAATCAATGTACTTAATCTTAGTATTGGAGGGCCAGATTTTATGGACCATCCATTTGTTGATAAAGTATGGGAACTCACAGCTAATCGAGTGATAATGGTTTCAGCCATTGGGAATGATGGTCCACTTTATGGGTTAGTAACTTTAATACTTTTGCAGTTAATAGTTATTTATAATAGTGCTAATTTAGTGTACTTTGAGGCATTATGTTAAAAAGTAAATAATTAAGCTATAACGACTATATAATGTTTGGTACAAGTGGTAAATATCTTTTATGAATTATTCCTAGATAAAAGAAGAAGAAGAAAAAAGTAAATTTTATTCTGGGACACTAAGTCCCCCTTAGAATAACTACAATGTTATGACAATTGTCTAGCATTAGAAATAATTAGGAATAAATTAAATTATGAAGTTATCTAGATCTAAAATTAAAATAAAGAAAAGGCATACAGACATATAAAATTATAAATAAATTCTAGACATATAAAATTATAGATAAATCCAGATGTGTGAGTTCACATATTTGTACACATAAACAATGTGGATGATATATAATTACATGTAGGATAACATTAACTGTGACTGACAGCTCTGAAAAACATAAACATTATTTTACATATTTTTGGAAGATTGATTGCTGGAGATGTAAAAATAAATTATGTCTAAATGAGGTCAAGGGTGAGGATATATAGGCAGGTAGGGAATTCCAAAACAATGTAGCACATATGACAAAGGATTTTTTAAGGAAACAGTTCTATGAGAAGGAATAAACAGGTTTGAGGGCTGGGATCTTGTGTTGAATGAATGGACAGAGGAACAAGAAGTAATCAAATCGAGAAGGTAAGAGAGGTTTTTGGTTGAAAAGGTTAAAAAAAGGAATACATCTATTCCTAGGAATATTTCCATATTACCGTTGGAAGACGGGATAGAGCCACTTCAACTCAGCATACCAATTGGAGGCATGGGAATACCTGCGGACTCCAAAAATAAATGTAATGAAACAATTCATTTGTCTCTTTAATCTGGCCTCAAGCCCACCAGACAGTCCACCATACACAAGGCAGCCATAATCAAAATGAGGGAAAATGAGTGCGGAAACTAGGAGCTGACGGACTATTGGGGAAACATCTCAAAATTTGCAAAATAGAATAAATCAACATAAAATAAATACCCAAAAAAATTAAATGCCACAGCTCTAGCAAGGCATAGTATCATGAATAATCATATTTTTTATTATGATAAAATAGAAATTTTATATAGGGCTGAAGATAATAAAATAAGAAAGTATCTTGAATCGATCTATGTAACTAAAAATGTGGTTAATTTCAAAACAGATATTAAGAGGATTGGGCAGAATTATGTAGACATTATTAATAAATTAGAATTTTAATTAAATTAAAGTTATTTAAATTATTAGCAATAATATGAATTAAAGCATTAAAATAATGCAGTACTCTTAATCCCAATGGAGCATAATAATATGTAAGCCCACAGCTCACAGTGGACATAAGGCTGTTTTATATATATATATATATATATATATATATATATATATATATATATATATATAAGTTAAACGCTGCGGGCTTCAAACACTTAAAAAAAAGAGTAAAGGATCCACAAATAACACGCATGAAGTCAGAAACAAGACTGCTTTATTGCTCCTTATAATCTCCTATATATACATTCTGAGTTGTTTACATAAATGCTTTAGGTATTAAAGCTAATACTGTCCCGCTCCGTACCTTAACTCCCCACCACCAGTTTACGGATACTCTTCGTAAACTCAAAAAAAAATAAAAAGACATAAAAACCAAAGTAAAATTCTTATATGTACAACGACAAGGTTCTCTTGTCCACATTATAACACAGGTACGGAGTGTTCAGTACTTACAACCTAATCTAATGAAAAACAAGCAAAATTATTCCTTATATAATAAAATTAAAAAAAAAATAACACACTTTGCCTATACCTTTTTCTCACAAATGAAACTTCACTGCATTTGCACTTTTCTTTCAAAATATACACAACGTTATGTCAGAACACTATATACCAAACAAACAAAACAAACAACAACAAAAAAAAAAATCTTCTTTCCGGAGACGAGGGCACTCCAGTTCTAAGGTTGCTGTGGCTCTGTAATCGGAAATTTTAATTGTTCTATGTGAACCGTCCTTCGTTTTTTTGGTTCGTTAACACTCTCAATCGTCACCACATTATGCTCTCTAATGACTATCACCCTGAATGGACCCTCATATCTCCGCACTTCCTTTCCCCTATTCGAGCCTAATTTGCGATACACTATGGACCCGATTTTCAATCCCCCTGTTACTTCCTTCACTTTGAGATTTTCCCGCGCTACCCTTTTCCGCTTTTCCCCCTCTATTTTATCCTTAACCTTCCCCCAGAGATTACCCAGTTCCATTTTGTTACTAACCATTCTTTCTGTCATTTGCTCGTCCGTAGCTGTACCTCCCCAGTCCCGTTGCCGCCCGCGTAATCCGAAGAGGATTTCGAATGGAGAGAACCCTGTTGCCGTATGTATAGAATGGTTGTACGCTGCCACCGCCTTCCGCATTGCCACATCCGGTTCCAACCCTTTTTCCACCTGATACACCCTTAGATGGTCACTAAGAGTGCTGTGCAGCCTCTCTATACTTCCTCTGCTCTTGGGGTGCCCTGGAGTATTAAGATGCCAGCTTACACCTACGTTCTTCATCTCCGCTCTGATTCTGGCATTGTCGAACTCTCTGCCCCCGTCGGAGGTGATGCGATCGGGTACTCCGTAACATTGGAACCACGTCTGGAGGGCTCCTAAGACTGCCTCTGCTGACCGCTCCTGTACCAGGTACGCCATTGCCGCTTTGCTGAAGAGGTCTATGAGCGTGACCCACTTATACCCTCTCCATGTGAACGTATCCACTTGCAAGTCGCTTAGTGGTGCATCGACCGTGGGTGTCTCCTCTTGCATCGTTTTCGGGGGGTGCCGATCGTACTTTGTGCTCGCGCACACCCTGCAGGACCCTATGAGCTCTGCGATCATTTTCTTCATCCCCCACCAAAAATATTTCCGACGCAACGCTTGAAACGTCTCCTGCGCCCCACGGTGGTTGGTCTTGCCCTGGTGGTAAGCAAGCGTTATGTCCTTCTGCTGCTCTTCATCCCGCACTGTATCCACCATCAGTTTGCACCGAATGAACGTCCTATCCATCCCTAATCGTTCATCCCGCCATAGCCTCTTTATCTTCTCCCAAATCGTTTCATTTCCTACATATAAGTGATGAATTTTCCCTGCTTTCGACGCGTCTTTGAGAGCTCTGCAGATCTGGTCCCCGCTGGCCCTGGTTGTGACCAAATGGTTGTTATTCGGCTGTTGCCGTACTTACTATACAATATCTTCATCAGACCCGACGTCCTGGTTTTCCAGATGATCTGGCGGTTCTTATCGTTGATGATTTCCTCCCGTTCTTCCATGTCCACTGGCCTCTCTTCCGCTGGACTTTCTTCTTGTTGGGTATCAACATTTTCTTCCACCACTTGTTCCCCCTCTCCTTCTGGCGTCCAGTCCCTCAGGAATTGTCTCACGCCTCCCGATGATTCAGCTGTATCCTCCTCTATGGCGTTTATAGTTAGCGCTCTCGATAGCCAATCCGCCACCACATTCTCTCTTCCGGGCTTGTACACAATGTCCATGTTGTACTGGTTTAGAATCTCCTTCCAGCGTGTGACTCTAGCCGAAGATTCCTTTAGCTTGCCTACCCATTGTAGGGGTCTATGGTCCGTCTGCACGCGGAATTTCCTCCCAAAAACATATGGTCTAAAATGGTCGATAGCCCATACGATCGCTAGCAGTTCTCTCTCCAGCGCACTGTATCGCGACTCTGCCTCCGTAAGTCGCCTGCTGGCATATGCTACGGGACGGTCCCCCCCATTTCCATCCTGGGATAACACAGCCCCCAACGCGTATTCGCTAGCGTCCGTTGTGATCGTAAACACTTTCGTAAAATCCGGAAATGCTAATACTGGCTCCTCCTGCAGCCTCGCCATGCATTTCCGAATGTTGTCTTCCATTATGGGGGTTACTATCACCTTGCTGCCTTTCTTTAATAAATTGTTGAGGGGTACGAGGTATTCCGCCATTTCGGGCACAAATCGTCGATAATAATTAAGGGTTCCTAACAATCTGCGGATCCCTTTTACATCCCGAGGTATTGCCATCTTCTGAATCGCCTCCACTTTCCGCGCGTCAGGTTTTACACCTTCACTCGATATCGTGTGTCCTAAAAAATTTATGTGGTCCTGCCCTAACAGACATTTCTCGCTGGACAGTTTCAGCCCAAATTGTCTGACTCTCTCAAATACCCTTCGTAGATGCTCTACGTGTTCCGCCTCGTTTTTACTAAATACCAACAGGTCGTCCATGTAAATTTGGCACATCCCTTCGTCGATTCCCCTTAGGAACTCGTCCATTAGCCGCTGGAACGTTATAGGGGCATTCTTGAGACCAAGCGGCATTCTCGTAAATTCGTAATGCCCCCTCTCGAACGTGAATGCTGTCTTCAATTGATCTTCCGGAAGCATCCTAATCTGATGATATCCCGCTTTCAGGTCAAGAGTACTGAATACCGTTGCCCCGCTTAACCGATCTAAAATGTCCTCAAACTTCGGGATTGGGTATTTTTCATCCACAGTATTCTCATTAAGTTTGCGGTAATCGATTACCACGCGGTACTTCTCCTCTCCGGGCGCGCTTTTCTTCTTAACCGCCCATAGCGGGCTATTATATGGCGACGTGCTATCGACAATTATCCCCTGCTTCTTCAGACTCTCCAACTCTTCCCTAATGTATTGGCGCAGTGCCTGCGGATACCTCCTCTCTTTCACGTAGCTCACCTTTTCGCGCTTCAGCGGGATCTCGTGCACCGTTTTGCCCGTCACCCCCAACGTATCTCCCTCCTTGAAAAAGATGTCTTCGAATTCCCTTCTCACGACTACTCTCCAATCCTCCGCCCGACTTATAGCTCCCACACGTGCTCTCCGGTCCTCATGCCCCTCTATTGCCATCGTACTCGTATACCTGATTCTCCCCATCTTTATTTTCCACTCCTCCCTTCTATATGCGATTCGCACGCC